TCTATCTTAAAGATTATTAATAGGCTAAAGAGCCACTCAATGCATTTCACTGAAAATTCAATATTTTAACAAAATCCTGAATTCCAGGTATGACAGAACAGGTAAAAATTGAAGAAAAGGGAATTCTGAGTAAGAGTCCAGTGTCAGAAAAGTGCTTTTCTAGCTGGAGCTTAAAGTTGTGTTGATGTTTGTGTCTATGTGTACATATATTGTACTGTGTGTGTATGTGTGGGGGCTAGATGGATACACCCTTCTTGATGAGGATAATCTTCCTTTACTCTCTTCCTCTACAATAGTCTTTTAAAAATATTAAGAAACCCCCAAACAGAGGAAAGTTATTTCTTAGGTTATATATACAGAGGTAGTTGCACAGGGAAGGGGAGATATACAAAAAGATCATTCTTCTTCCTCCCCCTCCCAAATATGTCATTCTTGGATTTCTTGATTTATACCAAATCACAACTCAAATAATAACTCAGGGACAAGCCAAAATTTTATAACTGTTACTTTAACTAAGGGGAGACATTGTTTATAGTAGATTGAGCGCCAAAAGCACATTCTTTTATTTATTTATTTATTGCTTTTTATTTATTTATTTATTTACATCCATTCACTGTACATCATTATAGCATACAAAATGAGATTTTTCCATTCAGAATACACTGTGTATTGGCTCAATCAAGCACATCAACATATGTGTTATTTTGAACAAATAATTTTCCATTTCTTGTTTCCTGTATATTTTGCCTTTTTTCCCATCCTTGATTCCCTATCTTACCCTCTGCCATCTCCCACCCTCCTCCCACTCTGTGTCTGGTATCTATTATCAAAAGCACATTCTTATAGTCTGATTGCAACACACAGAATTTGGCCTCCAAGAGCACAAATACTTGTAAAAATTACAGAAAAATAGAAAGTGTTAGCATAAAAACTAAGCTAAGTCAAATTTTGTCAATAGTATTACCTTATATTTACTTAGTGCTTTATGATTTACAAAATGCTTTCTTTATTTTCTAATTCATGCTCAGCGCAAACCTGGGAATAAAGCATTTCTGACAGTAGTCTGCTCACTTTCCAGTTGTGGAACCTCAGGTTCCAAGAGTTAACATGACTTGCTGTGAATCCTGAAAGCAAGTGCAGGAATTAAAACTTGCACTTTGAACTCTTGCTCCAAGATTCTTTTTCCCTCCCCTCCCCTCCCCTTCCCTCCCCTCCCCTTCCCTCCCCTTCCTTTCTCATCCCCTCTCTCTCTCTCTCTCCCTCTCTCCCTCCCTCTCCTTTCCTTTCCTTTCCTTTCCTTTCCTTTCCTTTCCTTTCTTTCCTCCCTTCCCTCCTCTCCCCTCTCCCCTCCCCTCCCCTCCCCTTCCCTTCCCTTCCCTTCCCTTCCCTTCCCTTCCTGTCTTCTTCCTTCCTTCTCACCTTCCTTCCTTTCTTCCTTTCTTTTTTTTCCCCCTTACTTTGAAAATTTGCCGGAGGGTGCATTCACACACCAGAGAGAGACAGAGAGAGAAACCACCACCCCATGCAGGTGGTCACACAGCAATCCCTTCTCCTTCTTCTTATCTTCCTGTCAGGATGTTATGCACGCATGCACACGGGCCCAGCATTTTTCAAGCAGCTGAGTCTGGGATTTGAACATGCAGCTGGCCATGTGGGATCCAGCTGCCCCAACCACCAGCCAACCTACTTACTGGCTGGCCATTCTTCAAGGTTCTTTCTAGCACATTGCATTGTTTTGAGAACACGCTGTCAGTCCACTCTCCTTATTTTTTTGTGAGGAAAGATATTCAGGGAGGCAAAGTGACTCGTTCATGATCACAGAGTTGATGGCCTTGCTGGGCCTCAAACCTGGATTTTCAAACTTCTTGCACTGTGCTCTTTTTTTTTTTTTTTTTGAGAGGTTTTTGCTATAGGGTGCGTGCACTTGCCAGAAAGACAGAGAGAAACAGAGAGACAGAAAGTGAGAAATCACCCCGCAGGGGAGATGGCCACGCTGCTGCAATCCCTTCTCCTCCATTCTCCTCTCAGGATCTTGGGCATGCACACACACGCACCCAGTGAGTTTAAGCTGCCGGGTCTGGGACTCCGACCCAATATGTGGGATTCAAACAGATGCTAAAATGAAGCCACAGTTGCTTAGGAAACACTTTTAACAAATTGAACAAATTAACAATACAAATAGCAGTGTAAGATAAATGTTCTGATCAGTTAAGCAAATAAAAAATACTAATATAAATTATACATCAGCTTATCTAACCACTAGCTAAGGACATCTACTGCTTGGTTCCCAAGACCATTGCAGGTTTGGAAATTACATGCTGTTGCTGTTGCATTTTTTAAAGTCCATGTTATAAACTGCATTTAGACTGATTAAAATCAGCATTTTTATATTCAGTTGACATACTGAAGTTTCCTATACATTATACACTTGTCTTTAATATGATGTAGTAATGATATCTTGGAATTTTGAAGAATTTTCTATACCATGGAGTACTACACAGCCTTTAAAAGAAGAAAATCCTAATGTTTGCAACAACACAGATGAACCTGAAGGATGTTAGACCAAGTGAAATAAACCTCACGTAGCAAAGCAAATGCTGCATGAATTTACTTATATGTAGGATCTAAAATAGTAGAGAAGGGACAGAAGGTGGTGTGGTGGTTAAGGTGCTGGACTCCCATACTGTTGACCATAGTTTGAGTCCCAGACCTGGTGGTTTGAAAATCATGCTGGGCACATGTGCGTACAGGCCCAAAATCTCAGGTGGAGAATGGAGGTAAAGGAATGTGGCATGGCCATCCACCCTGAGGGGGTGATTTCAATTTCTCACTTTCCCTCCCTCTGTTTCTTCCCAGCAAGTGCATGTGCCCTATAGCAAAAAAAAAAAAAAAAAAAAAAGGTAGAGAGCAAAAATGGTGGTTACCAGAGGCTTCTGGCGTGGAGTGTATGGGAAAAGGAAGATATTGGTCAGAGTATAAAAAGTAGGTTTTAAATGTCTTTATCATAAAGAAATGATAAGTAGGTAAGCTGATGAATAGGTTCATTAGCTTGATTTACTCATTCTACAATGAATATCTAGACCAAGACATCACATTATACCTCTTAAATACATACAATTACAATTTATCAATAAGGTAAAATAATTTTCTTCTAAATGACTTCAATTATTTTATTTATTTTTATGATATACCTGAACAGTTAGGAGTATGTGTACTTTTCTCTCTCTTTCAGAGACAGGGAAATTGATTGAGGGAATTTCAGACTCTCTGGACTGAAGTGGTTAAGGGGCACAGAGAGTAATCCCTCCTGCCTTTAGAATGCTACTCCAGGGTCCAGTGGAGAGCATTGTGGGCTAGGGAGAGTGGGTACTGAATGAGCACTGCCTTGGAATCAGACAGGTATCTGGCCATGTTACCTCTGTTCCTCTGGATAAGATTCAACTACAGTCTCTAGACTTTGTAGTCAGTGAAAACAAACTCTCAAAAAAATCCTCTGGGGTTTATGTGTTTAGAGACAGAGAGGTTTAACTTCCCCTTATTATAAAAGTTTTCTAATTCAACTGAGAATATGCATAATAAATGAAGAAAGACTCCTGGGTCTCCATAAAGTATTGCATTTCCATATGATAACACCATCTCTGAAACCTCCCTGCATTTATAAGAGTTATCTTCTTACAGAACATGTGCAACTTATGAAAAGCTCATTACTCAATAATCCTTGGGGGAATGCAAACATACAGACAGCTAGAATATGGCAAAGAAAAGGAGCCATCGATTTTTTGTTGTTGTTTTATCCCCCTACTTTTCTCCATAAGTGCAAATTCTGCCAACAACCTTAGAAGTTTAGTAGTTTCTGAACTGCAAGAAAGCTGAAGCCATTTATTTTGCTTATTATTTATAGAAAACAGGGATGGCAGGTGGTTAAGAGTGCTGGATTCCCAAATGGCCGACCGTGGTTCGAGTCCCAGACCTGGCAACTTGCTTCCTCTCTTTACCTTTCTCTCTCTGGTCGAATTAAAAAATAATAATAATGAGTGGAACTAAGTAAATAAATACTTACATTTTAAAAAAGAAAGAAAGAAAATAATTTTACTGAAAAAATTTCTAGCTGTATTTGTCTTTCAAAATAGGCTATAGTGGATAATAGCAATATGTTATTGCATATTTAGTCCTCAACCTGTGGCAGACATTATAGAACCAGGATCTAATACACTCCTGATTACAACTACAAAAGTAGGTATTATTGTCTTGAGAACTCTGACAACTGCCATCCATGTGACATACCTGTCTGGACTAGAAATGAGACTACCTGTGTCCATATGACTTAGTTATTTGTTCCATGGAAACTTTGCTAGGGAAGGATGAAACCATAAACCAATTAATAGCTTCTCTGTTTGCTTCAGGAAATTTCTGCTAATTAAATGATAACAGATAACAAGACCATTCACCCTGGGCAAAGCACTTGCTCTTATCAAACTATAGTTTACTCATCAAGGTGTGCTTTGAGATGCTCACCTTGCTTGATCCACAATGGGCTAAGATTACATCCTAATCTCAGAGCAATTCCAGTCAGTTTCCTCCTTGAAAGACCTGCTTGAAGTCAATGGAATCCAAGTCTCTAAACTCTATAAAATATCTTCTCTTGACTTCTTTTTACTGAGATATTACTAAGACCTTTTCAAGATGGCGCCTTCCTTATCACTTGTCTCATAGTATCGTGGGTAATTCAATAAGCTTTATTTTACAAATAAGCAAAGAGAAGACCAGAGAGTTTCAGTAATTCACCCTTTAGCTAAGGGGTGGAGCCAGAATTCCAATTCAGAACTATCTGACCCCATCCCATGTTTCCAACCACACTGATATTGTGCCTTTCATTCATATTGAAAGTCAATTTCTTTGATTTTATTTTTGGACTTATTCAACTTTTTAGGATTAAAAAAAATCCAAATAAAGGTTGTCTTATTTTTTTTTTAATTTTATTTTTTTTACAGAATTTGGGGCTAGATGTAGCCTAGCAGTAAAACATAATGTTCTGCAAGGCTGACCCATCATGGAGACATTCTGGATTTGCCTCTGGAAACTCTCCTGAGGATGCCAGGCATGTGAGTACCTTTGATCTGGGGCTGTAAATAGATACAATCGAATTCATATTATTTTGGTAGAAAATATTTCTGAGGGCTTCAAAATGCAATTTTTCAGTAGTTTTTGCAGTTTTTCAATAGTTAGAAAGCTGGATTGTTAGTTTTACATTAGATTGTATATTGTTACAACACATTTTTTCCCCCTGAATACCGTAATGTCTTTAAAACATTGATAAAAGGGGCAAACTCTACGGCTCAATGGTTAAGGGAGCCAGAACCTCCATGGCTGATTGTGGTTTCAGTCCTGACCCTGATGGCTTGAAAAACATGCCACGTGCATGCACGACCCAAATCCTGATAGGATGGAGAAATGAAGGAAAAGAGATGGTGGTGTGCACATGTCCCACTGGGTAGTGCTTTCTCCTCTCTCTCTCTCTCCTATCTCTGTCTTTCTCTGCCAAGAAAACAAGCTCTCTGGCAATTAAAATAAATTAATAGGGCCAGCCGGTGCTGGGGTGATCAAAAGCAGCTGGATTGTGTGTGGCCAACTGCACAGTTGAGTTCCTGGTCAATGACTTGAAAAACATGCCAGGAGTGTGGGTATGTGTGCCCAAAACCTCAAGAAGAGAGCAGAGGAGAAAGGATTGTGGCAGGCCATCCCCCCTGGGGTGGGGAATGCTTTTTTGCTTTTCCTCTCTCGCCCTGTCTCTTACTTGTGAGTACACACTCCTTAGAGAAAACTTTAAAAAAAATTAATAAATGATATTTTGTATCTATTCCTTTTCCTCTGTAAAACTATTTCTATGGCTGCCCGACAGTAGCTTCAGCTTGCAGTGGCTTTGAGTAGGCATAGCACTGACTCTTGCTCTATGTCAGTATGATCTTATAGTTCCTGAGGTCTCCACTGGTTTAATCACTCAGTTTCTGGAACTCTATCTAAATTCTCAGCTGAGAGAATCTAATTGGTTCAGCTTGGTCAGCTGAACCAATTGCAGCATTTTTAGGTTAGTAATTTTGGAGCACCATCACCATGATTAGGCCTTCAGGGGCAGTGGGAATTTCCCCAGAACTGAGTAGAAAGGCCTGCTGGGCAGGAGCTGTGATGTTTGGTGAAGGAACAAGCCAAGCAATGAGGGGAATTGGAGGAGCAAATGTGAAGTATCTTGAAACACGGGGGATAGACAAAAATATAATTTAAAAAAAATTTCTCTTTCCAGATGGTGAATGTACTTGTCAGAGAAAGACAGAAAGAGAGAGTGGGAGAGGGAGAAAGCAACCCCCAGTGGGATGTGGTCACACTACAATCCCCTCTCCTCCATTCCTCCAACCTGTCAGGATTTTGGACATGCATGCATGTGCTGGGCCAATGTGTTTTTCAAGCCACCGGGCCATGTGGGATCCAGCATCACTTAGCTCCCAAGCCACCGGGCTGGTCCAAGCTGAAAAGCTTTCTAAAGGAACTAGCATCTTAGGGACCCCCAAGTGCCAAGCACTGTTCTAAGTGTCCTTTAACTCTCTGAATACTGAAATAGCCCTCTGAAGAAAATTTTATTGTCATTGTCACCTTTTCTGTAGGGAGAAGGGGTACTTTTTATTAACGTCTACAATACATACAGAAGTGTGCACACAATGATTTTCATGAAAACAACACTCAGGAAGCCAGGCCCCACAAGATGAAAGAGAACATTTCTAGTATACCCTCCACCCCCTCAAATCAGTTTCCAGTCTATATCACTGTCAATGGTAACCAATAACTTCATTTCCAACACCAGTGGTGATTGTTGTATGTTTTTAAACTTTATGTATTGCATCACACAACAACAATTCTCTTGAGTATAACTTCTTTGCCAACCTTGTGTTTGTAGTAATAACCTTACTTTTTAAATTATGATAAAATACATATAACACAATTTACCATTGTGTGCATTTCATTTTTTCATTCTGTCTATTTTAAGTGTATAGTTCGTGGCATTAAGCATATTCACAATGTGGTGCAGCTATTATCTCTATCCATTGCCAGAACTTTCTCTACATCTCTTAACAGAAACTCTAAACTCATTAAATAACAATACTTCATTTTCTTTCCACTTACCTTAGACCTCAGGAACCTTCATACTACTTTCTGTCTCTGAATTTGTCTATTCTAAGGGCTTGGGGATAAGTGGAATCATGCAATATTGGTCCTTTTGTGTCTGGCTTATTTCACTTAGCATAATGCTTCTAGATTCATCGTCATTCTCTTGTTACAGGTGAGGAAAATGAGCTACAGAAACATTAAGGAAGCAAGTGGAGAGCCCAGGATGTGAACCCAGGCTGTCTGACTCCTGAGCCTGAGTACCTAAGGGCTTCATTAGGCTGTTTGCCAATGGGTTTTGTGTACAAAGTCAATGATAGTATTCAAAGTATGGGCTAGATGGAAGGCTCTGAATATGTCTTATAGTCTACCAACCCAGAATAAGATAACTTGAAATCTCCATTTTCTTTCCTTTTTAGTTTTTATTTATTTTATATCTATTTACTTATTTATTTGCTACAGGTCAAGTGTTCTCACTAGAAAGAAAGAGAGGGGGAGAGAGAGGGAAAGTGAGAAATCACCCATGAGAGGGGAAGGCCACACAGGAGTCCCATCTCTTCTAATTTCCTATTGAGATTTTGGGCACTCAGGCACACATGCCTAGTATGATTTTTCAGCTACCAGGTCTAGGACTGGAACCACACAGTTAGCCATGTGGGATTCAGAGCCTAACCTTCACGCCACCTGCTGGCCCTAAAGTAAACCTACATTTTCTTTCCTATGTTACAAAAGGGGAGAATTTCTCTTTGATTTCTTCTGTCCAGTGAAAAGGGCAGACTCCCAAGCTGACTGTGTCTAAAGTGCTGCCATTTGTTCATTTCTACAATTACGAGCTTCACTCCTGCACTCACTCCAGAACTGCCGGCTGTCTTGACACTCCATATTGGGTTAAACTCATTATCCCACCACTTATAACACTGTACAATTTGCTCAAATTATCATTTTGGTGCAGAGCCTGCTGTTGAAATGGGAGCCAGAACAATCCCTTCTGGGAGCCAAAGATGCCAGTCTGGCTATTGTTAGGAATGGTGGGGAGGGCTGGTTGGCAGACCTTAACCTGTCTCATCCAAAGTGAATTCAGGAGCTGACCAAGACAGAGTCCAAGCTCCCCCCTGACTCCTACCAATCAAGCCACAAAAGACTCATGCATATTTATAAACAGTTGTACATGTTTGATTTGTCTCCGCCTAACCCCCTGAATTCTAGTGCATCAGAACACTGCATGCCAAGGAGAGGCAGGTAGCTATAGCGATCTTGGATGGCATCATCTAGCAGTCATGGTGCCCTCCATCAGTAAGAGACTGGTCTTTGAACACAGGAATGATGTGCCAGCACTAAGCCATGAGTAGGATTTTTAATTGGAGAATTTGTAAACATAAAGTCCCCTTTTATATCTGCTACCCATTTAAAAATGATCAATATTTTGCCAACAGACTTTATTTCTGAGGCACAATGAATTACATTATCTTTCTAGTTCTATTTGTCATCAAAGACAAGAAAAAATCAAACCTAATTACTGGATCTTTAATTACCATAGTGTTTTGTGTCTCAGCTCTGTTTTCCTCCTCTGTGATTTCACTCATTTAAATGCCATTCATATTTGTCAGGACCACTTGGTTAAAGTAAGAGAAACTTAACTATCTGAAGCAAAAAATGGGAGCTCATTGACTCACATAATCATGAAGTTAGCTCCAGGGCAGACAGCATCATGGGCCTCAATGCTGTATCAGCCTTTTGCTGCTCTCCCCCTGTTAAATGCATCTTTTTTTCCTGAAATGTTGACCTCATTCTCATTGTTTTGATCTATTGGCCTCATTCTCATGAGAATTAAATAATTAGAAAAAAATTTTTTGCTACCTTGGCCTCAAGGTGGTTTTAAAAAAATATGGCCCTAGTAGCACCAAGCTTGTGTTGTACCAGTTTAGCAAACCTGCAGAAAAGAAAACTTCTGATTGCTCTATCTAAAGTCTCTTGGAGACTAGCAGATGGCATAATGGTTACATTGCTGGATTCCCATGTAGTTGGAGTCCCGGACCCAGTGGCTTAGACTCACGCTGGGCGTGAGAGCGGTGGTTTTAAAAAAATATGGCCCTAGTAGCACCAAGCTTGTGTTGTACCAGTTTAGCAAACCTGCAGAAAAGAAAACTTCTGATTGCTCTATCTAAAGTCTCTTGGAGACTAGCAGATGGCATAATGGTTACATTGCTGGATTCCCATGTAGTTGGAGTCCCGGACCCAGTGGCTTAGACTCACGCTGGGCGCGAGAGCGTGTGTGTGTGTGTGCAGGATCCTAAGAGGAGAATAGAGGAGAAGTGATTGCGGCATGGCCATCCCCTCTGGGGGAGGGGGGGTAATTTCTCGCTTTCTGTCCCTCTTTCTCTCTCTTTCTGGCGAGCGCACGTGCTCTATAGCAAAAACCTGTCCAAAAAACAAAAACAAAACTCAAGTGTGTGTGTTGTGCGTTGAGTGTCCCAAATCCTGAGAGAATGGAGGAGAAGGGATTGTGGTATGGCCATCCCCCTAAAGGGTGATTTCTCACTTTCTCTCTGTCTCTCTCTGGCTTTCTAGTGAGTGCACACACCCTGAGGCATAAACCTCTCAAAAAAGTCTACTGTTGGGACCAGCAGCTGGCGTAGCGGTTACGTTGCTGGACTCCCACATGGTTGACCATAGTTTGAGTCTGGGACCCAGTGGCTTGAAACTCATGCTGGGTGAATGCAGGGTGGGGGGTGGGGGAGGGAATGATTTCTCACTTTACCTCTCACTGTCTCTGTCACTCTCTTTCTGGTGTGTGTATGGACCCTAAGGCAAGAACCTCTAAAAAAATACACATACACACAAACAAAAATAAACAGTTTATTGGCTTGGGTCAGCAGGTGGAGTGATGGTTAAGGGGCTGAACTCCCACATGCTTGATCATGGTTCAAATCTTAGACCTGGAGGCTTGGAAATCATGCTGGGTGTGTGA